CCCCTTCGTAGCTTGGTGCATATGAGGGAGTTTGCACTGCTGAGTCAGGATGCAGGAGTAGGGTGTCTCTCCCACTGTGTTTCCTTTTGCAGCCTATAAGAGTACCTGAGTTCTCTTTGGACCATGTCAAGTTTGTCTTGAGTGTTGTTCAGCTGCTGGATCAGAGTACACACACACACACACACACACACACACACACACACGATTACCCTGATATAAAATTATTCAATTATTCAGATTCCATCTTTCCTACTTCATCCCAAACTGAACCTGAAACCCCCAATTGAAAGTAGTCTCGACACGTCACTACAGTGAACGATCCACGAAACAAACACCACCTCTCAGATTAAACAATGATCAAAACACTGCGCTCAAATGTTCCTCCTGTGATCCAGCTGTCTTTTTAACTGCTCCTTGGAGATGATGGATTCTGGAAAGATCAGAGACACTTGAGCCCAAATCTCAGATCAATAGATCCGATCGATGGACAGAGTCCTGAAGAGAAACTTCACATACTGAACAAACAGCATAGTTTCAATCGCTTTGTTTTGTTCATCACAGCGAACTGTTGTCATGCTGAGACTTGATGTTTGAGACAGAAATATTAATCTTAAAGTAAGAACATTCCCCGTTGTTAGTAAATTAGATGCTCCTCATGCCGGAGGAGTCCCACAGGGCAGATCGTGACTCACACAGGGTCTCAGAAGTGCAGTAAATAATCTCAAGAGGACAGAAGACTGAAGACACTGAAGCGACCAGTCATTCATTTTCAATGAGAGAAGAGACATGAGTGACAGGGACAGGGACCCTAGATAAACGCAGTGTGTGTTCCAGAGAGTTAAAATATTGTCTTAATTTAATAGTTACAACTGAATTTTGTGGGGGTGGGGGGGGAGTCATTTTTTTCTGATTTTTATTATTCATAAAAATATGAATAATTTTTAATCATGAGAATAATTTTACCAGCATTTGCTAATAGCATTTTTATACATTTACAGATTGGAAATTCAAAAATTTAAACAGATTGGAAATTTCAAATTAAAATCTCAATAAAATGCATATATTATACATATTTGTCTTTATATATAAAAATGCATTTAAACATATATTTTATAATTTAAAATTTTCATACATTATATATAGCATTAATATCTTTAATTTAGGATTTAAATATTAATTACTGACCTTTTTCCCTAATATACATAAAAAAAGACATTAATACAGAAATGAGAATCACCCCCAATAATAATATGAATTTCAATACATAAAATGTCCTTTAATAATTTAATGGTCCTAAAATAGGCTTTATTCTTTATACAAAATTCAAAACTTTTTTTTTTTTTTGGCATGAAATGCAATATTTCTGAGTGATTCAATGGTTAATAAGAGCCAATAGGAGGTTTTCAAACAGGTAAATGTGTGTGCACATTACAGGTGCATCTCAATAAATTAGAATGTCGTGGAAAAGTTCAATTAAAATAACCAAAGACTTAAACTACTTCAGTCTGTGTGCATTGAATTTATTTAATACACGAGTTTCAAATTTGAGTTGAATTACTGAAATAAATGAACTTTTCCACGACATTCTAATTTATTGAGATGCACCTGTATGTTTGTGTGTGTCACGTACCGTTAAGGTGTAGTTGGTCTGTATCTCTCGGTCCACTGGTTTCAGTAGAGTAAGGTAGCGTGTGATGCCGGTAGATGTGATGGAGAAGATGGAGGTGTAGTCATTCAGAGTGATCTTCAACTGAGGATCTTTTGTCTTCCCAAAACAAACAAAGTCGAGAGGTCAAATGCAGCATTACTACGTTAATATGAGCATGACACACCGTCCAAACAAACCTCATGCAGTCACACAATCCTTATGTTGCATAACACTAAAGAAAGTATCACTCGACCACCTCATTCACTCTGACACGCAAGAGCCTCTACAGAAATACAACAGCTTGTTTGAAAGTCCAGAGAATTCAAAAGTCAAAATCTAATGTAATAATGTAGAAAACGAAGTGCATGCACATTTGCACAGAAGTGCTGTGTCATTAAAATTGATCATATGTCAATGCAAGCTGTTTGGCTGCAAACCACCTGAATTAGTTTGTCTATAAATTTATCTCATCTATTCAGTCTATGTTTGATTAATTCAGTCATAGACAGAGAGAGAGAGATATGTATATAAAATATATGTAAAATACAACAGTATAATGGATAGATATTAGGGGTGTGACGAGACACTTGGGCGCGGCAAGGCTGAGGGATAGTTAGGGCCTAAATAGCTTCCTAAATTCCTTTTGATTTGAATGCATAAAACAACTTAATTTATTCATTTTGTTTTTCTTAAAGTAGCCTTGTGATTTTTTTTCCCCTCAGAAATTCTGTTGTTTATTTACATTTTTCTGGTTATCAAATGAAGGCATAAAACATTAATTTAATTGATCATTTATCTTTTAATTATTGAAAATTAAGCAAACAAGATTTTTTGACAAACATAGGGGATTTACTATTAAAAATAAAACACTGAAGAAATGTTTTGTGTGATTATTCCTTAAAAAATAATGTTTGTTTCATTTTAGTAGTAGTAGTAGTAGTAGTAG